TGCACTAATATCAATTAGTTTAATTCACCTTTAATGTGTTTACAGTTTTCACTGATCTATTATTGTGGTACTTTTTGAACTAAAGATAAAAACAATTTAATTGATGATAGAAGCAATGTTTGATGTATCTTTTTCACTTTTATAATTTTTTTTTTTTTTTAAAGGAATAAAGTTTGTTTTGTCTCAGTTTATGGTTTGAGCCATAAGCTATACTGCAATATGTTAATTATATAGTACCTTACTCAGGAAAGAAATTGAATCCTAGGTACTGAAAAAGAAAGAGATTTGCTAAATTTTAAATCCTGGGGAGTGATTAGTACAAATTAAAAAAAAAGAGTTTAAAAAATAACTTGATCTTTTAATGGCCCATTCATCATTTGTCCTTATCAAGAACAACATTTTATTAAAAATGGAACATATTTATGTATATCATTAAACAAGCCTTATTATAAACATCATTATAATAAGCTCTGGATTAAAAAAAAACAAAGTTTGTAATTAAGAAATTTTGTAAGATATTCATTGAAAATATTCTTAATTATCAGTTTTTCAATATGTCTTCATCATATCAACACCTTTATTTAGCTACTACCACCATTATCCTTGTCAAATGCTAATAATATTTTCTCCTTTGGTTGTGCTCCCTTTTGTGGGGTTTCACATATGACTTTGCGCTTAAAAATGTTCTGAAAGAAAATAGAATATTTCATTCTCTTAAATATTTCATGTAAGATCAACATATCTTCCCAGTCCATTATCTAATAATTTATTATTCTGTTTAGGGCAAACACTTGGAATGTAACTAAAATGTCAAATTAAACAAGTTATTGAAATAAAAAGAGTTATATATGCTTTAAAGAAAGTTACTATTTACTTTTAAAGTTCTCTAGACAAATATGCAGTTGCCTAACCTTACTATAATCCCTTTGAGAATTAAAGTTCTGATCATTTAAAAATACATAACTGAAATTGAAAATACATCTGAAAAAATTATTCAAAATCTTATTAGGCCAATACTCCATCTAATGTAGTCTTGAATAACACATCTTTTAATATTTATTTATTTTTAATACTTTGTAGATAAGAGACTGGTGACAAAGCATATTACCAAAGAAAATAATCAAAGGGAATAAACAAAAGAGCCACCTCTGCCTTCCCCCTCCTCACCTGGTTACATGATATATAGCGGCATGAACCCAGGAGGCGGGCGACAACTTTCTTTGTCCTTTTGGGTTCATTTACTTGGATGACTTACTTTATCATAAGTCAATTAGTGGAGAGCAATGTCTTGCAGCTCCTCTTCCCAAATTCAATTCATTTATCCTTGGTCTTGGAAAGAGGTCTGTCATCCACCACATTTTCTGTGTCCTATTTCTATGTTTCCTGATTTTTTTTGAGATGTAAATGTAGGTTATAATGAATTCGTTGATAAGAAGTCATTGTGTGTTGGTTAAATGTTGGAAAGTGCTACTTTGTAAACACTTGTTATTTATGTTTCCAGATGTTTTTTTTAACATTCAAAATATTTTTTACTGCAAATTTTACAGCTTTTATAGGTGAGCTATACTTGTGTACAGCTTTTACAGCTTTTTGCTATACTTGTGGATGAATGAGATGTATGTCCATATCTGTTTAATTATCATCTATTCAGTTTCAGTTTCAATTTTGAAGTCCAGATCGGTTTAAGTAACACCTATTCATTTTCTGTTTAAATTCGAAAAATTGTAAGCAATTTAGCAAAGTAAAGTGAGGCTAGGTGGATTCTTGGTGAGTTATTGATGATATAATAAACAGTCAATATCTCATTCTTTACAAGTTTACAATACATACATTTTTATGAAATGTAAAATAATACCGCCAGTAAAAAAAAAAAAATCTGTCAAAGCAAAGATTAAAGGATAATATTATTTAGCAGTGTGGTAATATGGTCTTAAGTTAAAAGAAAAATCCTTGATACCAAATCTTATCAAATGCATGATCGACATTCAGAATCATCTTATACCACATTATTTTTGCTCCATTGATGTAATCCAGTAGTTTTGTGTAATTGATCATTCAAACTTAACACACAAAAGAATTTTTTATTTCTAGATTCAATGTTACTCTTAATTTTTTACAAATGATTATGGTTTATTTTCTTGATAGTAGTCCAATTGTCCTTGTTGCTATGCTTATCTTGAAATCTTTAACCTCTAAATATTTCAACAAAAATATCATCTGTTCACAGGATTTGTCCTAGCCATCATAATTTTAGGAATTATATTTCTTCTTCAATCAGGTTTTTTTTTTTTTATTCATTACTAATTATTAAATTATTAGATCACTACAAAGCTCTCATACTAAGATGGGCACTTGATTGCAAAAACAAAAAATCTTTTTTTTTTCCTTTAGCTAAATTGATAGAATTCCGAACTTCAGCTCTTTGTGAAGTTCCGATTTCATGCTTACATTAAATAAGTGGAATTTGGTCCTAATGCCTGATTATTTTAATCTACCAACATTAGAAAGCTATTCGAGGCCTCTCCAACTTTTTTGGTTTTCTTTTCAACATTTTTATTTGGCCTATCACCCAAACTAATCACACTTACAGAATATTGGTATTTATAAACTTACTAAAAATTCTATTTCTTAAAATATAAGAGCTGAAAAACAATCCAGCTTCAAAAGCAAAATATTTGGATTTTTTTACAAAATAATAAAGTATAAAATGATTGATTTAATTTGAGTAATGAAAAAAATGAATATTGTATTTTCTTCATAAATAATCCCTGCAATTCACCCTTTTAATGTAGTTACTCATAAAGAAAATTTGTAAATACATGCTAAAACCTGCAAGTGGTAAATGTTCGATATATCTCTTGGTTTATCCATCCTATCCTTTTTGTGCCCCCTTTTATAAATTTGTTTTTTGCATTTATATATAATATAGTGAATACTAGAATAATTGGTATAATTCCAGCAATTATATCTATAAAAATCATTTATCTTTACATTAACAGCATATTTATATTTAATTTATTATGCTATAAATAGGTCTGTAAATATATTATATAATATTAAATTAATAATATTCTGCAGAAAAGTAAGATTTAGTAAGTTTCGAAAACAGAAAAATATTATGATAAATATATATATTTCTTTAATTCTATATGCATTATTCATTATTTCTGCTACTTAAATATTTACACAATTTTACAGTATCAGCTATTTTCTGGAAGATCTTAAGTCTCTAATAGAGGAAGGACCCTGAATATCAAGTAGAAGCAGGATAGAAAAAAATCAACCAATAAACTAAGGGCTTCACAAAGCCTTCTTGCCTTCTACCATAAATATCTTGAAAAAAAAAAAATAGAATCAGTACATCAGAAATGTTTTACTTCCTCCGAAAACATCTTTATAACTAGTGTTGCCATCAATTTCAATTAAAGTTTGTATATTATGTTTATGGATTTGCTCCATCTTAGCTGAACTGATGTAGACACCAAAGCCTTTATCAATGTAAAAAGAATTTAATAATGTAATGTATACAAAAATGTATTTTTGCATTTGTACAAAAAAAAAAGAAAAAAAAGTCAATTGCATGTAATATAAGCTTTTTGAATCATAAATGATTTATTGTACATTAAAATGGTTGATTACAATTTATTCTAACTAGATCTTATTGAAGTATGGCAGTTCTAGTTTATGTAATCTGACAATTTTTAAATATAAGTTGTCAATCTTTGGTATAATAATTTTACAAAAAAATAATAATTTGTTGGAGACAGTCAAGTACACCAACATATATTGAGTCCAACATAATTAAATTAAAGATGTCAAACTATTTGTAGTTTTAATGTATAGGGAGTATTCTTCATTACAGGAAGTGATTCCTCATTGGCTGTGAATGATTAATCCATCTTTTTTTTTTTAATGAAAAATATATAATTTCATGTGTTTAAACTTTTAACAGCAAATTATATCAGTTTTTAAAGTGTTACTTTCAGAGCCTACAGATTAACTTATTACTTTTTGAGACCTTATTTGCCTAAACATTGAGAATATTATTTGTTATAAAATTTAAACAAGTTATGAAAGTTTGCTTAAACTTCATTATTTTTATGAAGTACTTGAATCATAAATTATTGACAAATATACATTTTTATTTCTTATGCTATAAAAATATTAGAAAATATACTATAAAGTACATTTTAAAAAAATTAAAAATATTTCTTAATCTTAAAAAAGGCATTTTTCAATATTATTCTATTAAATAAGCATAATGAGGTCATTCTCATCACACTTGTCAAATTGGGGTTTCTAAAGATAGATTTTTACAAGGTTTAATTTACTTTAGAAAGGTTGATTAAGTATCTAATCAACTTCAATAAGTTTCAAGGAAGATATGGTTGAAAAAAATGCAAAGTACAAATTGTCTTGTATTCAAACATGTTGCTTAACCTAAAATTACAGTGTATACAAAAAAAAATTTCTTATTTATAAAAATATATTAGTGGCCACATGTCAAAGATGCACATCTATCTTTTTAAAAAGTTGAGAAAAAAATAATTTTTGTAATATTGCTTAAATTTAAACCAATTCTAATGATTTTATTTGTATGGTTCAACTTGAACTTTCTTAAATAAAATAATTAAGAACATTTTATATTGAACCTACAAAACAAAAATTGACTTTTTCTACATTTTCAGGACCGATGTCTGTCTTTAATAAGATACCATATGTTAAATATATTTATTTAAATAAAATGGTAATAGTCTGCTATAAAACGGAAGAGGGAACCATTAAATAAATAAACCAAGTTAAAAATAGACCTTTCTCAGATGGAAATGAATTTTTAGTCTTCTCCCGACCCTTATATATCTAAAATAGTTTATCTCACTTAAAACGTGTGCAGAAATGTATGAGTGATATTTTATGTCATAACAGTTTTCTTGGAAAAATGAACTGTTTGTCCAAAAAATTAAAAAACAAAATGGTCTCAGAGAGAGAGTGAAGTGGGAATGGTGCTTACCCCTCCATTGGAGGTACGAACTTTTCTGATTCTTACTACTAATCCCAAAGTTTTAAAACTCAATAGATTATTTCTCCCACACTTAGTGAATTAAAAGTGGTAAATAGTAACATAGTTGATGGTAGTTGGCTTGAGAAATTAATTCAAAAAATAAATTTATTGAATTGGTACCATTAGAAAATAAAAACATATTTCATTTTAGAAACTAAGTCAGTAGGGCTTTAAATTATGGCTGCTAATAAAAAATTTAAATTAACAGAGAATAATAAAACTGAGTTAATGTGCTTGAGATAGAATACAAATACTTATCATTATTTTAGTTGTGAGTTCACTTTGACAAAAACCCTCCATTTTAATGGCAAATCGGATAGATCATTTGAATTTGCATCATCCAAAGTCATAACTGTAAAGTATTACTACCATAACAAACATATTTCTTAGAATCTAACAGTGATTAAAAATGTTCAAAAATTGTATTATGTTTCATTTTTTAAAATCACACTTATGGTCTTTTAAAACTACATTCAATTCATTCTAGGATATTTATTTCAGCCACCTATACCAACAATTGTTTTGTTAGATCAGAATATGGGCATTAATATACTTGAGAATCTTGAATTTCAAAACTTAAAATTATTTTTAAGTGTTTTGGTATATTTGACTATATATACTAATGGTAGATATACTTACCATTAGTATATGAAAAAAATTAAAGCTCGCAACATAATAATTAGAGCCATGCCAAAACAACCTGAAAGTCAAATGATGTAAATTTGACAAATCTCATGAGAATGGCCCAATTATTATTCAATTCAAGACAATATATGTATAAATACTATCAATTATATTTTTTATATTTTAAAAATACTTTATTTTACCCAAACATTATTCTAACTAGGAATGGAACTTGGATTTTTTTCCAAGGGGTAATTTTAGTTTTGCTGTTTCTTCTTTTATCTCCTCCCCTTCTCAATAAAACTAATCAGTTTTATAACAGTATTTTAGGTAATATATATGTTGAAATAAACATCAGCACTCCTAATATTGACTTATTTTATTGACTGAATTAAGATCAAAACAATTGCCTCCCAATAAAAATTGAAATTGACCACTCCATAAGCTTTGTCACCTTTGCCAGTGCCCTCTTTACATCCACATTTTTCCATCCCTGATTCTACATGAACTATTTTTAAGCTAACTTAAAACTTTTTGCAGTTTTATAAAAGGATTAAAATTTAAAAAAAAAATTAAAAACTGAATAAGTTGGCTGTTTTGTCATTACATCTTAGACATTTTGATGATAAAATATTTTTCAAGTACTCATACTAATATAACCCTATACCCCGGAAAAGGTTTTGGAAAATTTTTCTAACTGTTTCTCAATCAAACAGTTTCTCCGTAAAATATCTCTAAACAGTTTTCCATAAAAGACATGTTTGGTCACCTCTATTGATAAAATGCAATCAATGAAAAATATTTTAATTTAATTATAATAATCCATAAATATATTTTTAAAATTATGAAATGAAAGTTTATTATGAAAAGAAAATTTCGATTAAGTAAATTTAATCTAAGTAAATTAAAGTAAATAAATCAAATAAAATTTAAAGTAAGTAAATTAAAGTAAATTTAATCTATAAAAAACAAGCATAAAAAATCTTTTGAACATCCTGTCAACACATTTCTGAGTGGTGCATATTCCTATATCTGCCATTCTGATAGGTCAGAGCAAGTGGACATGTTTTAAATTAAGACTATTATTTAAAAAGCAAATTAAATAATATATTTTTTTAATTTTCTATGTTTATGAGCACTGTATGTGGTAGGGTGTTGGTTATCAATACAGTATCTGATCATTTTTTTTTTCTTAATACTATCTATTTCTTGTAAAATGAACATTTTATGACTAGCATTTAAAATAGACTAGAACTGTCATTATTACTTCCAGAATGTAAATGTCAAATCAATCATTTTGTAATATTTCATTTCAATTTTTCTTTCTTTAATTTTCTTGGCATAAAAAACAAAAAAAAAAAAAAAAAAAAAATGTAAGTATCTAATATTGTAGTTGAAGGAGCACTAATTTTTCATTTCCTACAATCATAAAATTTGCAATAAAATTTTTCACTGATATAATGGATAGGAATCTTAGTATGTAAACAATAATGTTTAAATAGACCCATGATTAAAGGAAAAGTTTAAATTAATATTCATAATTAATCCATTATTTTAGTGCCTTCAAGTGATACATTGCAATAGGAGTAAAATATTTTTGTAGAACTGAATTTCTTTTAATGATTGCATATCATTACTTAAACATATTTTTTAATTCTACGAGACTGTGACTGAGCAACTGATGTTGCATTTAATATTATTCGAGTTGCAATAGATAATCTTTTGTTAAAAATCTATAAACCCGCAGTTGGTAACTACTGTGATTCTTGTCCAAAATATTCTTATACTTTGAAATTTAATAAATTAAGAACAATGGAAAATTTATTATTATCTTTAATATATTAGAAAGTAATTTTATATGTTATAATATTTATGTAATTAAATTTTATATGGTTTCCATATAATATATCAGTTTTTTATTTTATTTTATGGTATATATGACAATCTGTAATACTGTTGTCATGAGCTATCTCAAAAAGACAATCTGAAATGATTACTGAACTTAGTTGTGTTGTGGGCTATGAATGAGAAATAATTATATTATAATCTTGAATTTTGCATCATATATTTTATAACCCAATAAATCTAAATTTATTAAAACAAAAATTTAAAGAGCATAGGTAGGTCATTTTAAAGAGCCAAAGTCAGCCAACTTCAGCAAACTAAAGCTGTATGAGAACGGTTTATAATTTTTAATAAAAAATAATTTAATTAATTAATTAATTTACATAGATAATTTAAAAAGTATCAAATATTATATCAATTATTACTTAAACTAAATTTAGTTAATGTTGATAGTTTAAAGCTCACACCTGACTGTAACTGAAGCAGTGGTACTGGAAAAAACATGAATTTTTTCTCATAAATATTTATTTTGGAATTAAAAATAAGAGTCCCAATAATTTTAAAATGTTTAAATTTCTTATAAATTTGCCTGACCCAGCATTGGTAGTAAATATCTTGCATGTTGATACAACGGATATCAAATAATTAATATTGTAACAAATCATGAAATCAACTATGAATCTTATAATATACAATAAATGAATCTTAAAATCATAAAAGTTGAATCATCAATGATATATTCTGGTATTTTATTACTGAATGGATAATATTATTTTTCATCACATTAATAAATGAAGGGATATAATCTATTATTAATCTGTCATAATTATAATGATGTGATGTTTTTATAAATTAATATAAATATTGAAATCCATTTTAACATTGTTTAAAAGACATTAGTTAGAAGGAATAGTAATCCCAAATATAAAACTCATTTTATTGATTATTTATATACTTTAGAAATAGTGTAAATATAATTTAAAATTTTGCAGTCAATTATTCTTAATCAGCGATTGATATTTAATGGTTAATTTAGCAAATATGTCGAATATAGTCAAATTATATAATTGAGCTGTATAGTTATAACAATTCTGTTTCCCAATGACAACAGTTGTTGAGATGTGTAATCAATATTCTGGAAATGAAAATTTTTGTTTTAGTCAAAATTGTTTTTCTATTTCTTAAAGCTACAGTGCTTTAAAATCAATGTGGAACTTCTTCACGGCGGAGTTATTTTGCTTTTATTTTCAGTTTTTATCTGGTCTCATTTAGCTCAGTTCTCAACTCCTTCAAAGAGTTCTTGAACCGACTGTAGTTTCAAATCTATTTCAACTCTGTAGTTCATCTGCAAATGCGGGGATTTAAAAGACTTCCTCGGCACCGGGACGCGAACTCGTGACTATTTAATATCATTTGATTGATATGTAAGGTTGCCCGGCAACGGTGATGCTGTGCACACGTGTTAGCCCATTCGGCCATCCCGCCCACCATATACATAACAAGACTATCATCAAAGAATAGCTATTTATATAGAAAGGTCTGTAGCTCACTAGCTTATCTTTTAGAGACTGGAATTATTTCAGATTTTTCCCATTCTATGGGGAACTCTTCTTATCATACTACATTAAGAATATTCAGAAAGACTTCCTTGCTTTTCTCTTCCAAGTTAGTAAGCTGTTCTATAGGATTATTGTGAGGGTCTGCATATTTGCCTTTCTTTGTCTCTTTTACAGCTCTTTTTTTTTACTTTTTCCAATGTATCTGGATTATTGAAGCAGGTCTTCAAGGATAAGAAATTGAGATGGGGTTGCATAGCGGATTAAGACGCTGTGTAAAACACATTGCCTTGGCAACATGATTATAAACCGAAGATTACGAGTTCAAATCCTTGTGCTGGTGCCTTTTTCCCCTGTCCCGGAAAAACTCCAGATAGCCTAAAAGATAAGGAAGTAGAGAGAAAAAAAAAATATAAGAAATTCCTTCTTAGACCCTGGAGTACTTAATTATTTTGAGTTCTCAACAGTTTATCCTGTTATCGTGCTTTGTTATAATATGAACTTAAGTGTCAATAATTAGAGCCTATAGCCCATTTACCACAAGAGTTTCATTTACATCATTCTGTGGATAATTGTTGAATGTAGTGAGAAATTTAAAATTTTTCTGCCCATCTTTCATACAATATTACAATTACCTAAATTATAATGTGGTATATATGATATAATTAGTATTCTTGGTAAAATTTAATTAATATATTCTTAAATATGAGGCTTATGATCTATATATAACAATTTACCAGAATATATTGTTGAATAGTTCTGTTTTCTTTTAACCACATAAAGAAACTTGATTTATGATAATCATGAATGATTGATCTAATTAACAGTTAAATACAATGAAGTTATCATAACCCTGATGAAGTCTTTGACTTTTTTAAATAAATAACTATTTGTTACGAAAAAATCGTAATTTTTTTTTTACCTTGATCCATTAAAA